TACAAAGGTGATACTTTCAAACAGAATCAATTAGATTTTACTTAAAATATAATCTTTCCATGTTAACTGTCTTTACTTAGCTTTAATGTGCAAAGTAATGAAATACTAAATTTAAAACCTAATAAAAATTTGAAATTACGTATTTCCTCCTAAATTCATTATTATTAGATTGTTAAATTGAGATATCATGGGACTGCTTTGGGGAAGGTGGTTGTCCTAACTTTAATTTGAGGGAACATCTTTTAGAACTTCTCAGTAAGATTTTTTTTTCTCCCACTCATTAAGCTATTACGATCATTCCTTGGTATCCACGGTGGATTGGTTTCAGGACACCCCTCACCCCGACCGAGACCAGAATCCGTGCATGTTCAAGTCCCTTATATGAAATGCTGTAGTATTCGCATATAACCTATGCATACCCTTCTGTAGACTTTAAGTCATCTCTAGATTACTTAAATATTTAATACAATCTAAATACAGTATAAAAAGTTGTTACACTGTATCGTTTAGGGATGAATAACAAGAAAAAAGTCTGTACATATTCAGTACAGATGCAGCCATTGGCCTAACTACATAGTACATGTCATCAGCAAAAAAGTCAGTAGCTTTTTTTTCCCAAATATTTTTGATCTCTGGTTGGTTGAACCTGCAGATGGGGAACTGGGTGTGGAGGGGCGACTGTTAAACGTGTGCTGTTCTAGGCTCTGGGGACACAGCTAGACAGAGTCCCACCCCTTTTTAGTGGGAAGGACAGACAAAATGCCAGGTAGGACCTGGAAAGGGAGGTTTTAAGCAGTGGAATGTCATGACGTTCTGAAGGACGCACTCCGGCTGCTCAGGGTTGAAGCAGGAAGCCACACGGGTGGTGCCTGGGATTTGTGTGAACGCAGTGGAGTCTGCGAAAGGCAGTCTGATTCTGAATTTAGTGTGAAAACAGATCCAGGACCTGGGGATAGGTTGATTATTGGAATCTAGAGGCTGAGCAGACTTGAGAATGATGTCTTTGGATTTGGTCCGATCCACCAGGAGAGCAGCGGTACCACTTCCTGAGAAGGAGCAGATCGGTGATGTCACATAAGACATATGAGGGCTGAGAGGCCTCTGAAGGAGTCCAGGGAAGGGTGTCTGGTCAGCAGGAGGACAGGTGACTCTGGAGATGGAGGGGTTCGGGCCAGAGAAATGTATCTGAGCAATGGTTTCCCAAGCCCTGAGGTGGGTAGAATCACCTGGGAATGAGTGTCACATTGACAAAGGACAACGACTGAGCCCTGGGGCGTGCCAGAACTTACAGATCACAAGAGGGGACAGTCCAGTAAAGCACCCTGAGAAAGGAGGACAGCCGGGAGACAGGTGGGGCAGGGATGGGCCCGCTGCTTGATTATACTGGCGAGACTTGAACCGGTGACCATGCTTGTGGCAGAGGTGGTCAGCGATCGCCCCATGGGGGCAAGGGGTTTGCTGGAGAGGGTAGGAGGCCAGGAGGCGGGCCAGCCAGAGCACCCCAGGCGTTTCAGTTTATCTGGGAAGAGGAGGGAAGTGGGGTGGTAGCGGGGCTGGAGTGGAGCACTGGAGGCTCCACGGGTTCTTTGTTGGGTTTGCCTGAGAGGTGGTTGAGCATTAGAGCAGAGAGGGATGGGCTCGCCATGACACTGAGCCTAGGAAGGTGCAGGCAAGGATGACTAACCCGTAGTCACAGCCGGTGATGTGTAAGGACACAGGCAGACAGAGGATTTGTGGGAGTTAAGGAGCGCCCTCGGGCTGGAGAGAGGTGGGGTTGGAGGGAGGTGGGACTGGGACACGGGGTACCTGGGGGCTTCGGCTATGATGTTGATGTTGTATCTCATCAGCAGGTGCTGGGTAGGTGGCCATTTATGCCGTTCATTTATTCTTCCATTCAAATTTTTGTTTAAAAATATCACAGCTTTTTCCCCCAACTCATCCTATTAAACATAAGTGACTATTAAAGCGTCATCATAAAGCTGTGTACTTGTTGAGTTTTCACATCGTATTGAAATTAATTCATCGTTCTCAGTGTCCCGTGAAAAGCTGGATAAAGCCCTCATGGCAGTTTATGTTGGACCTGAGGACACTTGTGAGTAACCCCTTTAAAGGGCTGTCATTCACGGAATGACCCATTCAAGAGGCCGGTCCAGGTTGCTCTTCTGTTCTTAGCCTAGCACTTTGCTGCCATCTAGTGTCACAGATTTTTCTTTCTGGGGTTTTCGGGGAGGATCTGAGACACTTAAAAACTTGGATAAAGGAAACTTTATTTTTCAGAATAAATTGCTGTTCTTAATTGTGTGTGTGTGTGTGTGTGTGTGTGTTTAATCGTAGACCAAAGCAATAATCTTTGTCTACTCACTAAGCACCATTAAAGCATAAATAAACCAGATGTCTATGTACAGGTTTGTCTCTTTTGGATAGAATGAATCACTATTTAGTACTTATTTAATATACATGTTTTTACTGTAATTAAGGATTTTTTGTGCTGTTTTCTTTTTAAATGGTGCTACGAGGAGAGTTCTGAGGATCTTTCTAGAACAGAGAACTAACCCCACCTCCCACACAGTCCATCACCAGTCTCGTTCCTGAGAAACGGCGCTCAGGCTCCTGGGTAGGTGAAGGCAGCGCCTCACCCCAGGTCCGACTGTTGACGTCATCTCCCCAGTGGGGCTGGGGGAGGCTTTATTTTTTTGCCAAACTAGAAACATTAGGAGTAGTAACATTAATAAGCAAAATCTTGTTTATCACATTTTATCTTCTAGTGAAATTAAGAGAGTAGAATCAGTTACAGAGAGAAGATATTTTAAGAACAGTGAATGGTAATGAGTAAACTTTAGATAACCTTGAAAATGAACTACACTTCATTGGGCGTTGTCCGCCTTCATGGCCAGAGTCACTTGTGTGGTGGTCACTGTTTGCCAGCAGCTTCCGTTTGTTTGAGAGTTGGCCAGATACAGCACAGCCTAATCCTACTTTTGTGTAAGGTAATTGGATGGATATTTCAGGAAAGGGGTTAGACAGATGAAGTTTCCATTTCATTGGTAACGTAAATAAAGTTAAGCTCTTTGTTTTCATATTTAGTTTCCATATGATCTACCTTATAAAAATCCCATAGGCCTGGAGTTTTTCGCTGGGGTTTTTATGGATTAATTTAATTGTCGTCCAAATCTGCCTTTATTCCCACCACTCCCGTGCCGGATGGAGCTTAGGTGGCCTGGGCGAAGGTGGGGAGGGCCATGTATTTTTAAAAGGAAGAAAGGTGTCCATTTCTGCAGAGCAGCTTGTAATTGCACTTGGAACAAATCAAAAAAGAGCACTGTGTTTGGGAAGAAATAAAGCGTGGTGAGCGGACAGACCGTGGGTACTGAGGTAGCGCCCGCCTCTCTGCCCAGCAGTCCCATGAGTTGGGGGGCTTCTGCCCTCCTCGCGATCCACTCGAAGGTAATTATTATTTGTTCGTTCTTGTAAAATGAGTCGATGAGATCTGCAGTCCTGACTTACTTCACTCGTGAGTAGGACTTTCTTGACGAGTTAGCAAACTAGACAGCAGAGTGCAGCCCTGCCATTTCATTAGCTCTGGCAAATTTCTTAACCCCTTGAGGCCTCGGTTCCACATCTGGAAAGTGTTCCAAGTTATAAGAATTATTTGAGGTCATGAGTGGAAAGACTCCATGAGTGGAAAGACTCGTAGCACAGTGCTTGGCACACTGCTCAAAACTCAAATAGTGCTGTTATTGGTGCGAACATTTTCATTCATACGGAGATCATTGAAGCTGGGAATGAAGACAGATTTAGATTCTTAGAATGGACCTAGAAGTTACGTTAGAATGTACTTAGTATTATTAAATGTGGGCAAATGTTTCCAAAAGGATGTTGTGTTCTAGAGCTTTCTTCTGGGAGGAATTTGATAAATGTGCTGTCTTTGGTAACAGTTATCAGAAGTGTATCCTTTGGTTGGTCAAGGAAAACTTTCTTCCTCGGGAGTCTTTCCTTGACTCACGTATTAAGGAAACAGAAAGCTGTTGGCTTGCTGTCTAAATGTTATTAACTGATTATATAAAGCTTTCATTTGGAATTAAGTCACATCAGTAAATATTTAATCATGTGGTAAGAGAATGTGGAAGATTTATTTCCTCAAAGGTGTATTCTCCAAAACAGATATGCTGTAAACCTCCCAAACAGTCCTGAGTAGGTCATGAACTAGCCACGGGGTGACCCAGGGGCGCCGTGTGGGAGCGCCCCGGTGCCCCGCGTGGGAGCGCCCCGGGGCCCCGCGTTTAAGCGCGTGTGCCGGGCGTCTGGATGCGAATTTGTCCATTTTCCTGCCCGCGCTGCTGTCCTTCGAACAGTCTTATTAACTTTGTAAATTTTTCTGGAGGGACCGGAATGTTCTCTCTCACAGTGGTCTCTGGGCCACACGGGGCCCTGGGGAAGCTGGCAGACACCCGAGGCTGTTGGTGCCAGCACTGAACGCCCTTTCCCCTCCTTTTTGACCTGGTTTCCTTTTGTTCCCTCCTCTGTCGCCCGTGAGTGCGGTGGCGAGGGTCCTCTCTGGATCTCTTGCCGCGCGTCTGGAACCGCTAGAGGCGTGTGAGCAGCGCCATGTCTTTCACTCTCCATATCATCACCTCTATCTCTCAGTTATCTGGAAATTTCTGTACTTCTACACTTAGTTTAAATTGTGCATCATTACAATATTTCCTTTTTTTCTTTTTAAATTTTTATTGTACAAGCATTTATATAACAAAAGTAAACTAATGTTTAATTTTGTTGAAATGGACCTAAAAGATGAATGGTGTTTTCTGTACCTTTGAAATATTTGATTGGAATGACTCTTTGTCATTTGGAAGTTGTTTAGAGTGAGACTCCTTATTAAGCTCAAATCTAAGTGATTCTTAATAATCTTAGTAACTGATGCCCGTTGAGGCATGTGCTTAGTTGCCACGTGCTTCGTTCACGCATCTCCTTTTGAAAGCACACTGGACGGATTTTTGCAGGGCGACCTGAAGGCTTACCTGCGCAGCGAGCAGGAGCATCTGAGGGGGGACGCGCAGACCATGCTGCTGCAGAGGATGGCGTGCGAGATCGCGGCGGGGCTGGCCGCCATGCACAAGCTGCACTTCCTGCACAGGTGGGTCCGCCTGCTCGCGGGCGCCTCGGGGACGGGGTGCACCTTGTGAAAGGGTCTGTGGGAGCTTCGGGAGGGCAGGCCGGAGAGTCGGCGCCCGGGTCGTCACGCAGATCCTGGCCTGTACTCCCCGTGTCAGAGTGAGGGTTGAGTTGGGGTTCATGTAAACCACTACCGGGAAATAGAATGTCTCAATGCAGCCCGAGGTTTGGAAATCATTTCCAGAACTTCGAAGAATGTAAACAGCTGTATATCACTCAGTGCTGAGAATGAACAGCCCCAGTTTGCCTCCTGACACCTCTTGTGTGCTTCATGTCAGCCCTAGGCTCTGATTATAATTGCTAGGTCTCACAGCGTGTCCCATGTCACGTTCCTGGTTGAGGAAGAGAGGACCTGATAGGCTGACATTTTTTGTGTAAGGTCATAGTGTGAGTTTCTGGCCAGCATCCGAGAGCCTGCCCGCAGCCGGGTTGGGGGAGGTCAGGGTTGGTGCAAGCAGCCCAGGAGCTGGTAAACACATTTCCGTGGAAGCCTTTCTGGTCTTGTTTGAACAGCCGTAGTTCTTAGGAGCATGTAGTCGTATTTTGTTCAGACCATTGATGTAATTTTCATAATCAAAACAACAAAAGGTTTTGAAATCCTGTCTGAGATGATAGTTCTGTGAACCCAAAAGAAGATTTCTGCTTGCCCTCCCACCTTTTTGAGCTCCAATTTATGTTTAAAATGTTTAAAATTAGTTCTCTAAGTCTCTCAGGAAACCAGGCAGTGTCTCTTTAGTTGATTTTAATTAAATTATTTAACTCTTAACAATCCAAAGACCTGAAAAGGAACACCTGTGTATGTTGATGTGCAGGAATGTCCATGAAGTATATTTTTTAAAAAGCAGGTTGCACAGGAATACGTTTCTAGAATGACTCCATCTTTCTTAAATAAGAAAATACTTGGTTGTATTTGTAGAGAGGGCGTGTGCGCGCGTGTGAGCAGACGGGGGAAAGCACCTATCACATTCTCAACGTCGCCTCAGAGTGGGGATGTGAGTAACGTTTTTCTTACACATCCATATCTTGTTTGACTTGCATAATGAGCAAATCATTCGGAAAAAGTGCTTTTTTAAAAGACCCAAAAGAATATGGGCTTCTTCAGGCCCAGGATAGAATCCCTCACACGAAACTTCAAAATAGATCTGTTTTTTTTTTTTTTTTTTTAATAGAGATACCTTACATTTCATTTTTAATATCCTATAACAGGTAGTACACAACATATTTGTATTGTTTATCTTTTGTAAAACACAGATTGTTACCTACTACTTGGCTTAGGAATTTTTAGATTTTGGAGAATGGGTGCATTGAGAAAGAATATCATATCACAGTCAGCAACAGAAAATTGTCAAAGATCTAGAAATCGTGTTTAAAGCCCAAGTATGTTTTGACTATTGTATTTTAAAAATTGGCAAAGACGTCAGAGGAAATGTTATTTTTCCTGTGAGTTTCTTCAGGAAAGTTTTACTTTATTTAGAATCTGTGAACTTTAGAACAGATAAAGATGATAAATTGAATCACATGGTTTAGATTTTATTCAGGAACAAACAACTCAGGGTAAAGAAAAATTTTGAAATCATTAACAGCTGTCTCATTTTCTTTTAAAAAATAACCATATTTCATGTAAAATTTCTATTTGGGGCTAAATTTTGTGCTTTAAGTTATTTTTTGTTGGTAGCACATTGTATAGCATATTTTTAAATTGGAATTTAGAGTATTTATTGGCTGACTCAAAGTCAGACTTTCTGTGTTGGTCGAAAATAGAATGGCCCACATGTCCAACTAAATGCTGTTAACTGCATTTGGAAGCTGATCGAATAAAGCACTCCCAATTAAATTTGATTTTGACTTATTGTTTAAGAAGAGACTTCTGCCTGGATCGTAGGTAGCCTGCATTTCTAAAGTCGAACACCTGACATTCGGGAAGGCCATGTAAACAGCAGAAGCTGCCAGTGCGATACGCTCCACACTGGCTGGCCGAGAGCCTGGGACTTCCTGTCCCCTGCCTGTCAGTCTTCCTGAGAAGCTCCGTTGAGACGCCACCAGGTCACTGCAATGAGCTAAGTGCAGAGCAGTTCCAGCGGGAGGCATGGGCCTCTCCATGGTTCATGTTACTGGAGACCTATGTGACAGTGGCCTTGAGGGGTACCCAGGTGACAGGGAGTGGGAGAGAGAAGGAAAGGGGGTTTAGGGAAATATCAGATAGTCTAGTTTGACTGCTAAAGAGGCGCAAAGGGAAGTCGTGGAAGATAAGAATAGAGAGGCGCCTGAAGCCAAATTACAGGGGCCTTGGGTGCCACGATGAGGCCTTTGGACTTTGTTTTGTCGGCAAAGGAGTGACGTACCCAGAGCTCTGCGCATGCGTGCGTGTGCTTACGTCACCTCCGCAGTGCCCCGTAGGGCGGGTGGGAAAGACGACGCCACTGTCAAGAAGGCCGAGTAGGAATTTACACGGGGTGGCTGCCCGTGCGTGTTTCCCGTTTCCTCTTGCACATGGGGAATTTGCTGAATCCAAGCAGGGGCCGATCCTCTTCACCTTTGTGTCCCCCGTGATGTATTTCACGTAGACGTGAGGAGAGGCAGCAGGTGAAAGGGACCAATTTAAATGTCTTGTAAACCCAGGAAGCAGTGGAAGGCTTTCATGGGTCAGGTGGCTAAACTGGAAAGATAACTAAAGAGCTTTCACTTAAAAGTCACCAGGTCCAGAGGATTCATGGTTGACTTCTGTCTAACCTTTAGAGAACAGATGACATCGGTGGATTAAAACTATTTCTGACCTAAAGAAGATTGAATTTTTTATAGCTCATGAATCCAGTGTAACTTCAATGGCAAAAGATGGCATGAAATAGAAAATTATTGATGATTCGCATTAAGGAAGCACAGCTAATTTCACCCAGCAATATGTGAAAAAAAAAAACAGTCATCGGAAAAGAAGAGAACACCCTTCTTTACTGGTGACACGATCTTGTATATCAAGAAAACCCAAAATACTGGTTTCTTTAAAAAATAAAATTAATAAGAATGTTTATTGCGGCTTGCTATAAGATAAATACACTGAAGTCAGTACAGTTTCTCCCTGTACTAAGTATAATAACCTAGAAATGAAGGTGAAGAAAACCATTCTGTTCTCAACAATGCCACAATAATAAATCATTTGGGAATAAATTATGTGAGAAAGGCACAGGACTACATGAAGATATGAAATTTTAGGTGAGCAAATGGAAAGATGTACTGTGTTTTATGATGGGAAGACAACACAAAAATGTCAATTAATTGAAAATTAATAAATAATACAATTCCAATTAGAATCCTCACAGGATTTGGGGGCGGGGTGGGTAGGTGAAATTCTCTTTAGCTACACAGAGAAGAATAAATGTCTGAAATGTCTAGAAGAGCCATTTAAGTATGAATCGTTGGGGCAGTAAAGGAAACTCGCTTTACCAGATATCAGAGTACACAATAAGCCACTGTAATAAAAATCAATATAGTTTTGGCAGAGAAACAGATCAATGGACAGGACACAGTACAAAGAGAAAGTTAATCTCTGACACAAGTGGCATTTCAAATCAATGAGAAAGGATGGCTTATTTATTAAATGCTGGCACGGTTAATTACCTATTTGGGAAAATAAGTGGACCCTACATCATCCTGTACGTAAAAGTAAAGATAAAAGAATTAAATGTATTATTGGTATAATACCAGAAGACTGTATGTGTAACCCAGGGATATGAGGCCTCCTTAATTAAGATAAATCTAGGGGTTGTAAAGTAAAAGATGGATGTGGTTGAATGTTATATAAAAATTAAATACTTCATATAGCAACAGATATCACAAAGTCACTAAACAGAGTCACGAAGATGAATCTGCAATACAGAAGGCCAACATGTATCACATACAGAGTTCTTACAAACTGACAAGAAAATGATGACCTAGTAGAAAATAGGCAAAGATATAAACAGGCAAATTTGAAAAGATATTCAAATTCAAAAGTAGGTAGAGACATGCAAATTAAAGTAACCGAAACTCAAAAATTAAAGGAATCGCTACATCTGTTGTTAGTAGGGATATGGGAGAGGAAGGTGTTGTCATATGTTGCATATGTGTTATATGTTGCATATACATTATAAATATTTTAAAAGCTATTGTGCAATAACTATATAATTAGATGTATACATTCCCTTTAACAGCATTTCTAGACTCAATCCCACAGGAAATAGAAGCACGGGAACTTGACAGAAATATCTAACACACATTAGAAATGCCCACTGCAGCATTGTCTGAAGTGGTGGCAAAAAATAAAAGAGACGAAGGTAACGTAACGGTCATGGGGGACTAGAGGTAGTGCATCTGCGCTGTGCACATGACACGCAGCTGTGAGGGAAGGCTCAGGGCCGCCACGCTGGTCGAGTGGGGGGGTTTCCACGCGAATAAGAAGTAAAGATGCAGATAGAGGCCTAATGCTGCATGTTTGAAAGGCAAATGCTCCCTAATCTCCTTTTTTGTGTGTATAAGTATGGAAAAATATATAGAAAGATGATACCTCCCAGTTCGTTAACACGCGTTAAAAGACGGTGCTTCAGGAAGACTCAGAAAAGACATAGCATTTATATAACCCAGTTTATTCAAAATGTGTGTGTGTGCCTAAGAGGATCAGGAAGGACAAGCTCCCGACTTGTGGGCCATCTGCGTTGTGTGTCGGGAGAGAAGCAGGCTGCAGGCTGGGCGTGAGCCAAGTAGAGAGAAGAAAAAGGAAGGTGTCTTCTCATGGCAGGCCACCTTGTTTTGGGCTTATGACCCTTGGTTTAAAATCGTTAGTGGTATGTAAAGTATAAACTGTTCCATTTCTCTAGATGCCCTTAGGCCCCACGTGAGGATTAATGTCTTGGGATCCAGTGAAAATGCTAGCTGTGTGTTAAGACCAGCTGATTTGCCACTTGTGAAAATGGCACACACGAAACACGCTGGCCATCCTTGATTGTGACCTGAGGTGGCCTCCTAGTCCAGGCTTGGGTTCTGGGGGGTCGTCTGGTAGGTATTTCGGCCCCACCCCAGGTCTACTGCACCTTCCTGAGCCCCGCAAGTGTTTCTGATGTACACGCGAGCACTAGAACCGGACCCCTGGGCTGTCCACTGTCCGACACCCCAGAAGCACTTCCTTACAGGCTTTGTCCAGTTTTACAGCTGTTCCCAGCGGGAAGATAAGCCAGAACCGGAAATTGAGCGCCACACAGGCCTGACTGTCCAACAGTAAATGTCGTGCCGCTCAGCCAGTCAGGACTGACCCAGTACGTCGGGGCGACAGCTCTCAAACCCCATATGAAGGCCCTCTCCCTTTAACCTTCCGCTGGTACCTGTTTGCGCTCTACATCCCATCTTTGAGTCATCAGTGGCGTCGTCTCTCCAGAACCCACGGAGTGAATTTTTCTTTTCTCGAACCTTCGTGGCTGACAAAGGCAGAATGCTGAGTGAGCAGAGCGAGACTTCGGGGTCAGAGTCATTCGTTCCCTGCACATCAGCGTCCCCAGTTTTAGCCACGTTGCTTAATCCTGAGCCTGGCTGTGTCTTCTGTGAAATACGGATCACCTTTACTCACGTCACCCAAGATAGTGTCTGCTGAGCCCTAGAAGAATATTCAGTAACTTCCCGTTATTTTGCTTGCCATTTGTTACCTTTTTTTTTTTTTTTAATCAGAAATTCAGCTTATTTGGGAAAGCATATAAGTAGGTAACAGATAGAGATGTGGATGGTTTTGAAAATGACTGCAGTCACTCTGAGCTGTCCATCAGAGACAGCCCTCTGCAGATGGGCCAGCGCTCTTCTAGTGAGTCGAGCACTGGTGATGGTGCTTCCTCGGGAGTCGGGAGGGGGAGCTCTCTAGAACCGTGGACTCCCACTTTCCGTGTCCATCGGCCCCACTCAGGCGGCCGACCCGCGTGCAGTCCCGGACAGCCGAGGCGACAGCAACTGCTGCCAGAACCTTGGGAGAGCCTTTCAGGGCCGGGTTGTTTGGCAGCCTCCCCACTAGACCTGTTTTTCAACTTGAAGGAAAAATATACTGGGTATGTTTGTATTTCCTGACCAAAACCAGCCATTGACGTCAACAGGTACCTCTCTTATTAAGAAGTTACACCTTTGTGTTTTTCTCTTCTTTAGCTTTGTGTGTTTGCGGCCTCAGAACATTTATCTTTACCGATTTTGAATCAAGTTATGTCATCATCTTGAATCTGGAGAGCACTTGAACGTTTTGAAAACATCTCATATGTATTTTTATTTTATCCTTATAAAAATCTGTGAATTAGCGCTACAGGTACAGTCCTGTTATTTCCGTGAAGTAACTGAGGCTCCAGTATGTTAGGTGAGCTGCCCGGAGTTGCACAGACTATTCCCAGGTCTTTGGAGTGTGCTGACTGGGGCGTTCGGAGTGGACACAGGGAGCAGGTTTAGAAGAAATTCCTCCAGCCGTGCTGCTCTTTTCTTCTGCATTGCGTCTGCTTTTCAGTAACGAGAAGCATTCCTCCTTCCCCTGAGAGTAGCAGTTGCGTCCTATGAGTTTTATAATGCCTTTCAAGTATGAGCCAAAGGCCTTTTGCATCTACCTTTCCATCTTCTATCTAACATTCACATTTGACATCTAAGGACCTGCAGTGAACGTGCGAGGAGAGATGAGCAGAGGGAGGAAGCAAGCAGCCCAGGCGTTGCTCGGATGGCCGGAGTACAAGGTGCCAAGTGCCCCGAAGTGCTCTGGCCAGCCTCAGGCCTGAGGTGACACTCATGCCCCTGGTGGAATGGCTGGCACCCAGCTTTTAGTTCTGGTCTTAGGAGGGCGATGCGGGGAAGGTCGAGAAGGGTCTGCTTCTAGGGACTCCAGGGATGCTCGTTAGTGATGCTCAGGAACCGCCTGTCGGCCCAGCCCTGCACACTGCCCACTCACAGCTGTCGGTCCAGCAGATAGGGCGCTCCTTAAAGCCCCTTCGTTTTTCTGCCCTCCTAGGGTACACCTCTTCTTCCTCCCCCATTTTTCCCTTCGTTCCAGGAAACGGGGACCATTTCTCTTAGGATTGGGAGTTTTTCTGTCGTTTGTAGCAGCGGAGTCAGGGGTATACTGAGGTCTCTCCCAGGCACGTCCGCGGGCCTGAAGGCTTCTGGATGGAGTGCGTGAAAATCTCCACCTGTAAACAGAATAGAATGTGTGGCGAGACGTCGACTATAACTAACTGCAGATTCAGACCAGCACGTGTTTATTTGAGGACCAGCCACGCGCGTGGTGTGTGCTGTGATTGTGACTGTGTCGGTGATGTTACCGACAGCCAGTCAGAAGATGAAAACACTACTGACAAGGATCTTGCCAGCTCTGTGACCTGAACAGGCTTACTTCAGTTCTCCGTGCCTCAGTTTCCTTATCTATAATATAAATGGGGGAAATAATAATACCCACCTCAGAGCTTTGTTGTGAGGATGAAACGAGCTCACTCAGGTGAAGCGCTTAGAGAAACGCCTTGAGTAAAGTGCTTTGTAAACATTAGCCACTATTATATAACTGAGTCGAGATTGTTATGTGCCGGACTGTCATCGAATTATGGCGTTATTAGCTGTCGCTGTTGTCAGTCTCGTTATCATTACATTTCAGACATGTCAGCTTTGGACATTAACATCTTTGAAAATAAGAATTTAAGCGTTAGTTTAAGCTTTTGGTCTTCTACAATCATATAAAGACAAACATTTTAAGTTTTGGACTATAGAAATTCAGTTTCTGATAACTTTTATTTATGATTTCAAACAATCAATTAGGTGTCTTTTTCTATATTAATTTAGTGGCCTTTTTTATTCATGTGCCAGTTGATGATTTAGAAGATTCTAAGAGCTAAACCCCAAATCCAAAAAGTCGACTCTGTTGTCTATGTGAGAACTTCCTTTAGAAAAAGTAATTTTTTTCTTTTCAAATTATGTTTTTGAAAACCAACTTGTTCTCAAATATATAAGTAAATTGTTTTAAGTAAGCCTCAAAAGTAATATCTTTACCTCCCCTGTGGAGAGGCGGAGTGTGGGAGAGACGAGAGTAATTTGAAAAGGGCCTCCTTACAATGTTAATAATGTAAATTATTTGGGTGGGGGGGCTCGAAGTTGTAACTATTAATCCTTACTTGAAATAAGTAGACTAGTAATGTTTAACAGTTAAAATAAGTAGAACACTAGTAATGTTTACAAAGCACTGTCACTGAAGTAATACAAAGTATTGTAAAGAAAATGTTCAGACAAAGTAGACAATAGTATTTTAGAACTCTTTCTCGATAACTGTTAAAATATTAGGAAACGAGCCTTAAATCTGGGATTAACGTGGAGCAGGGTACCGTTCTGGTCAGTATTTAACCTTAGCAGTTGTAGTTATTTGCAAAACATCTATCTGATCATCTCCATTGTTTAAGTAATGAAGAATATGACATGTAACCTTTTTCTGTAAAGAAAGAATTTTAAAACATTGCTTATTAAGCAGGGAGCTCAGAGCCACTGCCCTGAGAAAGCCTTTCCCTCCAGCAGTTCCCGGTCGCACTGTCCTGAGTGTGGGTCTTCCTCGTTCTCACGCTCACTTCGCTTTCTGTTTCCAGCGACCTGGCCCTGCGGAATTGTTTCCTCACCTCGGACTTAAACGTGAAGGTGGGAGACTATGGAATCGGATTCAGCAGGTACAAGGTAAGCCGCAGGTTTAGAGCCTCCTCCTTAATCTGACACAATTCCATGGTCACGACATGGTGACATCACCGAGTGCCGCTCCGTTTTTGGAAGGGAGCGGGAAGAGTCCGGTGGTGGTGGAGAGGAGCGTTGTCCCAGCCAGGCTGGTGGTGCTGTTGGTGTCTGGTGTGTGGTTCGTCCACATCAGTGGCTTTGTGCCCGAGATTTTGTGACAGCTTTTCAAATGTTTTTGTTTAAAATGACCTATACTCAGTGTGTAATTGATATGGTGTGATGGTGCATAGGAAATTTTAGTAGGCACACGGGCAATATAATCATCCCAACTTGTATAATAAAATATATATGACATAAATAGTTCTGTTATGTGTTCAGTAAAATTTTGACTCGAATTCAATAATCTTGGTATTTCAGTTTTTTGACTTTGTCATAAATATATGCCTCCCCCAAATAAGAAGTAGATGGGTGATGTGTGTGTGGTTGGGGGGGGGCACCCAGCTGAAGGAGGTAGCCTGATGCAGGGCAAAGAGTGCGATTGTCCCGGCTGTGCACTGTCAGGGGACCTTGGCTATGCCCCTTGACCTCCGTTTTCTAAGCAACAATGTGAGGATATCCGTTCTGTCTTACGGGTTTTGCGTGACGACCAAAGAGGTCATATTTTCACAGCTCTCTGTAACCGAAAAATATTATGCAAATATCAGTTGGCCATTTGTCTACATAGTAGATCTAGGATCTTGCGTGCTTGCTGTTTACCAAGCACTCTGAGGATGTCGCCTGCATCAGCTCGTTTAATGCTCCTCATGAAAGGAGACAGTTACTGCCTCACTCCCATTTTACAGAGAAGTAGAAAGGCCCAGCATACTCGTTTCCTCCCCAGATTCACAGAGCTGGTTAAATGGTCAAATGTGGACTTAGAACCCAGGCTGGCAGATTCTGGAGCCTGCACCCTCCCTCCCTGACAGTAGCACCCCCTGTGCAGGGCATGAAGCGCAGCCGTTTCGCTTAGGGTCTGTGTTCTGCGCACCAGATCAGCGGTCTCTCCTTTTCCAGGAACAGTGGCCGAGCGAGTCTTTGTGGCTCAGAGGCCAGCTCACGAAGCCCAGGAGGCTTTAGAGAAACCCTCACCATCCTCTCCCCGAAGGTCTCTTCATGCCCACTTCTCTCTCTGATGTGTCCTTTGGGTCGAGTCTGTGTTTTCTGAGAATGACTTGGAATTAAATCACTGAGCTTACAAAAAGTATAATGGCATTCAGAATTCTGTATGCTTTCTCACAAAACAGGAGGATTATATTGAAACAGATGATAAAAAAGTTTTTCCTCTGCGATGGACTGCTCCAGAATTAGTAACCAGCTTTCAAGACAGGCTACTAACTGCAGATCAAACTAAGTACAGTAACATTTGGTATGTATCGATTTACCATTCTATTAGGCTTTTGTATAGCGAAGTCCTAACTTCCTTCTCCTTGGGTACTTTCTTAAAGGGAAGTAACCAAATAAGATGTAGGAACATAAGAGCGCCTGCCCGATGGTGTGAAAAAGACAATTTATTGACCCCATGGCAGTAGTTACAATTCCAGTGATATAATTAACTTTCTGAATACTGCCTCTCTTACCCATTCTGCAGTAATAAGCTCCACAAAAGCTGGAACCAAGACTATTTTCTGTGTCTGCCACAGGGCCTGGCATATAATTCATGTTTAATAAATATTTGTCGAAGTAAATGAAAAAACAGAGATTTGGACTGTTGTATAATGCTATGATTTGTAGGTCAGTGAAATGGAAGTTGAAAAAAATGTGTCCAAGTCTTTGACTAACAATTTCTATTATAACTTTCTTAATTTATATCTCTATATATTTTTGTGCTATTGTCCTGCTTTTTCGAATTTTCTTTTTCTTCTCTTGCCTTTCCTTTTAAAACTGTTTTTTCCTTTTAGTTTGGGAGCTGTGTATTCTATTCCTATACCTTTGTTGGTTTTCTTAGATATTATAACATGTGTACATCACTTAGTCTAATATTTATTCATATCTTGGCCTTCTTTCTGTACAATGTAAGGATCTCAGAATGCTTTAACTTGGTTTAACTATACAAAACAAACACATAACTGTTATATTATTGGGTATTTTATTTTTTCCTTTAACCATATACAGCTTTATTATTATTATTATTTTTTAGCATCAGTGTTTGCTTAGGTTTATCGAAGTAATCAAATCATTTTTTTTCCTTCTGGAAATCACTCACTCTCTTTTTGCCCATAGTATGGGACTTCAGAAGTCCCTTTGTTGAGGGTCTGCTGGGGACAGACGCTCAGTATCTTGTAGGTCCAAACATCCTTTTATTTTGTCCTCGTTCTTGAAATATATTTTTACTTGATGACAGTTATTTTCTCTCAGCATACTGAGGATATTCTGCTGTCTTCTGGCTTCCATTATTGCCATTGGGAAGTCGGCTCTAAGTCCGCCTAAGCTTTGCCGTCTTTTTTCGTTTGTTTTTTGGTAGTTTCACTGTGACGTATATGAATGTAGATTTCTTAATGTTTTCTGCTTGGGATTTATTTGGCTTCAATCTGTAGGTTGATGTCGTTCTCAGCCCTTAACCTTGAAATGCCACCTCTGCCCCTTTGCTCTCCTTTGGGAAGTCCTGTGAGACATGTGCTATGCCTTCTTGCTCTGTCTTCTCTGTCTTAATCTCTTTTCTATGTTTCATCTCTTTGACTCTCTGTGCCACACTCTAGATAGTTTTTCAGACTTGTGCTCCGGCCGCTAATTCTGTCTCTTTAAATCTTCTCTTCAGTTGTGTCTAATCTTCTATTACATCTATTAAGTTTTATAGCTCAGTTACTGATTTTTCAGTTAAAGGAGGTATGTTTGATTTTTTTAAAAACTGGCCCACTGTTTTTAATAATTAGGTAACGATCTGCATCGCATAGTTTCACTGTTCAGAGTCCTCGTGTATTTGACCTTGTTGCTTGATGGTGCCTTGTTTCCTTATGGACTTTTTTGTGGTGAGGATCTTGGAAATCTAGGATTGAGGAACATTCCTCCAGAAAGGATCTACACTTGCTTCTGTGTGGCACCTGGGTGTCCTGCCATGTAAGGGCACTATACTGCTCCAGAGCTTTACTCAGCTTGTGAATTTGGACTGCAAATCCATGTAAGGGCCAGCTCTGTGGTTATGACACATTAGAGACTACCACCCCCCCCACACACACACACACGCACTCTCACACTCAACATTCACACACATAAACACACACACGCTCACACACACTCACACTTATCTCTCATAGCACCTCCGTGCCAAGGCAGCTGGCCTTTCAGGCTCCTGAAGGGAAGGCAGGGCAAGTGTATTCCCACCGTGAGGAGGTCCGTCTGTGACCCCCCTCTTATCTTGGGCAAGCCTCATAAACCAAAAACAGAAGTCCAAGGTCTGTGCTTCAGTGGAAGCCCCAGGGCAGAAGTGGTCTTAGTGCTCTACTGAGTTCTCTAAATTCTGGGCCTTGTCCTGGTAATTCCCAGCTGCTTTGTCTGCTCTCTGATGCCTTTAAAGAAGATGGATGTTATGCTTCATCCATATTTTTACTATTCTTAGCTGTGGGATTGACCTGAGCCCACCCCTTGTTTCCGACAGTTTGAGAAGTCACTGGCGGCAGGTCTGGCAGCAGTGCCACCTTCTGCCAGAGGCAAGGGCCACACTGCCCTGTGCCAGGGGTGAACAAGAGGGACCTCTCAGAGTTTGGTGGAAGAGGGATAAGAGCTACAGGACATTTTTCCTCCCAGAAGAAGGAGGCTCAGAGGTTCTCAAGCAGGTGTGAGCCAGTGTCAGGCGAAGAGCTGAATAGACAGGCGCTGGGGAGCGGCTCAGATACAGATGGAGCTTCGCTCCCCTGCCCTCCACTCACCTCCTGCTGTGTGGCCCAGTTCCTGACAGGCCACAGACCAGTACCAGTCCGCAGCCCGGGGTTTGGGGACCCCTGTCCTAGGTCACACCTGCATCTACCAGCTGAGAGTCTTTGGGGATGGGTCCTGAATCCCAGCGTGTTTGTTGAAAGCTTCCCGATGACCCAGATGGTCAGCCAGTAAACAGGAGGCCGTACCCCACGGGAAGGCGGTAAATGGGGGAAAGGAAATGCAGGGACCACGGAGAGGAGGTGGAGAGTAAGTGTTCCTCCGACTGGAGCCGCAGAGGCCGTTTCCATGGGGACAGAGCACTGGGCATCAGTGAATGGGCCGCGTAGGGGGAAAGGGCATTGCTGCCTGTGGTGACAGCGCACACCTGGAGGCATCAGGCGGCCCCTTCCGATGCACAGACAGCTGGCGGGGAACCGGAGGGAAATCCCGGCTGAGAGCAGCACAGCCCAAACCGCTCAGGAATGACGACGGCAAAGAGGGGGGGTCCCGCGGCGAAGTCGTTCCTGTGGAGAGGCTTCTCAGGGGTTTTCTGACGTTTACTTCTACTGGGAATGGGATTTCTTTTCTGCCAAAAAACTTGGAATTCAGGATATTTCTCTTGTGTCTAACCATTTTGCTGAACTCTTAAATCATGCTCTTTCAAAAAATTGAGTTTTAACATCGAGAGTCATATTGGCCCCTCCCTGTAATGGTGCCTGTTACTTCTGTTTCATGCTTTCTTGCTCTGGCCAGAACTTCTGGAATAGTGTCCAGTGGTGAACAGGAGGAGGCATTCTTGTCATGGTCCTCATTTTAATGGAAACGTCTCTTTTTTAATCGTGTTTGAGAGAGATCTCTAATACCCTTTTCAGGGCATACCTTGCCCTTAAAGTTCCTAATGACTCTACAAATAAAAGTGTGGGTGTTGAAAATTCAGCATCTGAAGGGAGGAAGAAATAACCATTTCCTTTTTTCTGCAGGTCCCTGGGGGTGACACTTTGGGAACTTTTTGATAATGCTGCTCAGCCGTACTCCAACCTTTCCAACTTAGATGTTCTCAATCAGGTCGTTCGAGAGAGGGGCACGAAACTCCCCAAGCCCCAGCTGGAGCAGCCATATGCCGATAGATGGTTAGTAACTTCTGGTTTTGTTTTGCTGTCTTCAGAAGATGAGGAAATCCTGTGTCCATGGGTGTTAGTTATATGTTCCCCATTTTTAAACAATAAGTGTTATAAAAACCAATCATTTGTATGTTATCCTTGACCGATTTTAGAATTAACGTCTATTTTTAAAGTCAATGTTATTTTAGAAAAATGTATAGAACTAGCAGGAATTTATGTATTACAGTAAGGAAAAAAATGTGAAGTCTGAACTAATTAGAAAAGTCAACAGTAAGGGAGTTTGCTATTGTAGAATCGTTTTTAAATGAGGCTGTTTGTGAAAGTGGTATCTAATATGTAAGAAAAGAGGGCATAGAAATGATAATATTTAAATTGGCACCTGAAACTAATTCACATAATGTATGTTGACATTCACAAAACAAATTTACTTCTTACGAGTCTTCGGATCCGTTGTTGCTCCGTTTCCAGGTAGGATCAGGCTCACCTCCCTCGAGGCCTCTGTCTACATCCCTGTGTGCCCAGCTGGCAGTGCCTCTGAAGCGTGGCCCCCCTGCAAGTTGCTAGAACCATTTCACCTGGAGCAACTTGACCTACACGCCATACATGTAATACTGTGACGTCGTCCTTGCCGTTACGCTCAGAGCTACAGTCTGAGTGTTGGCCGTGCTCAGCCAGCTCTTGGGAGACCCAGCCTTGGCTGCCGCCTCGTTCGGGCATCGTCCTCTGCTCTCGTCCCTCCCCTTTCAGCTCCCTTTCTGTGCATTCTCGACTACGCAGAGGACCCGTGACTATTGTTTTAAGAGGCGAACCTGCGAAAACTGTTTCTAAGTTCAGTGGATAAGTCCCTGGGTAAATAACAGGGGAAGAGATGGCAAGGCAGAAGGGTTGCAGTGATACTGTGAAATGTCCTGAGAACACAAAGAATTAGTGGGCGAACCGCTCCTTTTCTTCCTTCCCTCTTTCGCCGTGATCCTTCCATGAATCGAATGCCTTCACGTGGTCAGCAGTGATTGAAGTGTAGAAACTTCTGGGGTGTTGAGTTGGCCTCAAGGTCCTTGTAAAGCCTTTTCTTATTTTAAAACACTTGATTATCAGTCCATTAATTACCTCTTCCGTGTCGCTCAGGTATGAAGTCTTACAGTTCTGCTGGCTGTCACCAGACAAGAGACCGGCGGCCGAAGACGTGCACAGACTGCTCACCTACCTGCGGATGCAGAGCCAGAGGGACTCGGAGGTGGACTTCGAACAGCAGTGGAACGCGCTCAAACCAAACACGCACAGCAGAGAGGCATCCAGCAGCGCCGCGTTCCCGATCCTCGACCATTTCCCCAGGGACCGGCTGGGTCGGGAAATGGAGGAGGTCCTCACCGTGACCGAGACCAGCCAGGGCCTGAGCTTCGAGTACGTCTGGGAGGCCGCAAAGCACGATCACTTCGACGAGCGCGGCCGGGCCCCCCCGGACGAGGCCTTGTCCTACACGAGCATCTTCTTTCCAGTGGAAGTGTTTGAGAGTACGCTTTCTGACCCCGGGCCCGGGAAGCAAGACGACAGTGGCCAGGATGTCCCCGTGAGGGTCCCCGGAGTGGTTCCCGTGTTCGATGCCCACAACCTTTCCGTTGGAAGCGACTATTACATCCAGTTAGAAGAAAAAAGTGGTAGCAACTTGGAGCTCGATTACCCACCCGCGCTGCTGACGACCGAAATGGAGAATCCAGAAAGGACAAGTGACGAGGCGCCTCAGTTTCTGACACTCAGGAATCTTGAATTTGAGGAGTCCAGTACAGACGAGGATTTCTTCCAAAGCAGTGCAGACCCCAAAGACCCCAGCATGCCTGAGGACGTGCACGTTGCCAGGAGCCCCGACAGCCCTTTCAACAGTATATTCAGTGACCTTGACAAGGCGGAGGATCTGCCCAGTCACCAAAAAATATTTGACATCTTGGAACTGAACGGCGTTCAAGCCGACTTGAAGCCAGCCACTTTAAGTTCGAGCCTGGATGACCCCAAAGAGTCAGGAATGACATGCCACTTTGACAAAGAAAAGCCCCGTAAGCTTTTTGACTGTGAGCCTCTTTGCTTATCAGAAAACCTTATGCACCAAGATAATCTTGATCCAGTGAGTGTTCAAGAATTATCAGAAAACTTTTTATTTCTTCAAGAGAAAAACTTACTAAAAGACTCATTGTCTAGCAGAGAGCATATAAATGATCTTCAAACAGAACTTAAAAATGCTGGTTTTACTGAAACTGTATTAGAAACTCCACGTAGAAACGTTTTAGATACTGAGCTTAAGTTTGCTGAAAATAAACCAGGCTTTTCTTTGTTGCAGGAAAACATAAGCGCGAAGGGTAAAGACACAGGTGTTGTACTCGAGGACCACACTTTGAGCACCTCGTTGCCACCTTCCCCGGAAGTGCAGGCGCCTCCTACCTCTCTCGAAACAGAAGAAACGCACCATAATGTACCTCCAGCTACGCCTCCGAAGCAGGGAAACGCCGTGGCCACGTGTCTGGACGTCAGCATCCACGGTGACTGTCTCCGCCCAGAATCAAATCGAGATGCTCTGACCATCCCAGCTGAAGTTCCCTCGACTGATGCCAAGACACCCGGCATTGGCCACGCGTCCCATGACTTGACGCACCGAAGCGAGGAGGCCTCGAGACTAACCCAGAGTGACTCGGCTCTTGTTGAGGACGTTTTTGCCAGTAAAGCGAGTAGAGAGAGTAGCCTTCCAGAATCGAGACAGAACTTACAGGATCAGCCACTTTCAGAAGACTGTCACGGGAATCGATTGCTGGAGAAAAACTCGGAAGCTGTGGGGACTTTGAATCAGCTGAACTGTAAAGAGGCTACGAAAGAGGTGGGCTCGGTGTCCACGCTTTCCTCGGACTCTACCAGTCAGGACAGCCTTTTAGAAGACAGCTTGTCGGCCCCCACCCCGGCGTCAGAACAGTCGGCGGAGACGCCAGACTCTCTGGATTCGGTGGACGTCCACGACGTGCTCTTGGGCTCTCTAGGCCCTCACACGCCCCAGAAACTCTTGCCCCCCGATAAGCCCGCGGACAGTGGCTACGAGACAGAGAACCTGGAGTCCCCTGAGTGGAGTCTGCACCCTGCTCCTGACGGCCCTGCAGCCTCCGACGCGGCCGCAGCAGGCGACAGTGGTCGTGGTGGGTTGCCGCCCAATCCCGCCATCGTCATCTCAGACGCTGCCGATGGCCATGGAGGTACCGAGGTGACCTCACAGACTTCTGCACCCGGTTCCCAGAGCTCGTACCGAGACTCTGCCTACTTCTCGGACAATGACTCCGAGCCCGATAAGAAGTCAGAGGGGGTCTCGGGATCCTCACCGTCAGCCTCGGCCTCGCCTCGGCCGGTCACCCCCGAGCAGAGTCCCGGCACCAAGGACAGTTGCCTGGAAAGCAAACATAGCCAGCCAGACCCAAGCTGTCCGCCCGCTTTGCAAAGTTCCAGCCTCCCGGACTCGAGAGAGACACGCGAGCCGGCCCTGGCCGACGTCGCCAGGGAGCTGTGTCCTCCCGAGGACGAGGAGGGGGCTGGCGGCCCCTCCCGCCTGCCGAACTCAGAGCCGAGCTGCTGCGGCGACGACCCCGAGGCGCAGGAGGAGCGCCCCTGCGCCATCGCGTCCACCGGGACCAACACCAACGAGCTCCTCGCCTTCGCCAGTTCCACCCTCCGCGCCGGCAGCCCGCCAGACCTGCTGGAGGACAGGGCTGTGCCCGGCCACGCGGAGGGCCCCAAGCTGAAGGAGCCCGACGTCGAAGGGAAGTACCTGGGCAAGCTCGGCGCGGCGGGCATGCTCGACCTGTGCGAAGATGGCATCGACGCGGACGAGGAAGACGAGAACAGCGACGACTCGGACGAGGACCTGCGGGCCTTCAACCTGCACAGCCTCAGCTCCGAGTCGGAGGACGAGACCGAGCACCCGGTGCCCGTGGTCCTCAGCAACGACGACGGGAGGCACCTGCGGAGCCTGCTGAAGCCCCCGGCCACAGGGGCCGTCGACCAGCTACCGGATGACTGGAAAAAGGAAAAGAAGGCGGTAACGTTCTTCGATGACGTCACAGTCTATCTCTTTGACCAGGTATCTGTCACTTCCAAACCGGCGCGTTAGGGGATCCCAAGCGTGGTGGGGAATTGGGCGTGCTGTCTCCCCGGTGCCCATTTTGAGGCCACAGGTTGCTTTGTGGCTACGTGAAAAAAGGGAATTCAGGGTTGGCTGCAGTTACAGTTGAGGAACGCGCAGAAATGTGGCCAGCGCCGGGAACGCCTGTTACGTTAATGGAAGGAGCCCTGGGCCCCTTCCCAGCCCTCCTGGCAAAGTCCTGCCCTTTGCAGACCACACCTTTATGTCTGACCGTTGGCAGTAGCACCCAGCACGCAGGGTCAGGCTGGAGCAGTCTCCGCTTGTGAGTGGCCCTGCCTATGGGGCAGTGACGGGGTTGGTGGCCCTCTTGCCTTCCTGCTGTGGACCAGGTGGCCTTCTGGGCACCACTCAGTGGGCTGGGACTTTGCCTTCTTTGGAGATGAAACGGCCTATAACTCAGACTTTTTTCCCTTAACGTTCTTTGTTGGCTAGTGTCCGTAGCCCTTGAATTTGCTCCTCGAACCAGCTGGATGTTCATAATCTAGATACGAGTCCTTTGTCAGATACATGGTTTGGAAATATTTCTCCCAGTCTGTAGGTTGTCTTTCACAGAGCCAGAGTTTTAAATTTTGATGATTTCCACTTTACTGATTTTTTAAATGGATCATGCTTTCGGTGTCATGTCTAAGAACCCTTCACCAAGCCCTGTATCCCAAATATTTTCTCTAAAAGTTTTATAGTGTTGTGTTTTCCGTTTAGATCTACTATACATTCTGAGTTAATTTTTTTTATAATAATTTTTGTATAAGGTTTAGGTTGGGGCTCATTGTTTCGTGTTTGGTCATACGTGCATTTCTTCTAGTACCATCCGTTGTCTCCTATCCATCGAATTACCTTTGCACCTTTGTCAAAAATTAATGACCATATTTGTATGAGTCTATTTCTTGATTTTTTGTTCTGTTCCATTGATCTGTATATTTACTCTTTTGCTAATACTTCACTCTCGCGATTAAATCTTAAATCAGGAAATATGATTTCTCTGTCATTTTTCTTCCTTTTCAAAATATTTTGGCTTTTGTAGTTCCTTCAATTTTCTATATAAATTTTAGAATCAGCTTGCCTATATGTACGAACAAATTCTACTGGGATTTTGATGGGAATTGCGTAACATCTGTAGCTCAGTTTGGGGAGAATTGACATTTTACCAGTTTAGTTCTCAGTGTTTTGTAGTTTTCATCATAGAGATCCTCTGCTTGTTTTGTTAGAATTGTACCTATCTAAGCATTTTATCGTTGAGAAGCTGTTGTAAAATGTAACTTAAAATTTTTGATTTTCATTTGTTCCTTGCCAGTATCTAGAAGCGCGATCGATTTTCGTCTGTCGATTGTGTCTTGGTGTACTCACTTACCAGTTCTGGGAGGGTTTTGTTTTTGGTTTTTCCACATTCCTTATATTTTTCTACACAATCAAATCGTCTGCAAAAAGGGATAGGTTTCTTTCTTCCTTTCCGATCTGTGTGCCTTTTATTTCTTTTTCTTACATCGTCGCACTAGCTTCCAGTACAGTGTTGAATGGGAGTGTTGAGATAGACACCCTGGCTTTGAACCCAATTTTAGGAGAAAAACAGTCAGTCTTGGACCATTGACTCTGATGTAGGTTTTTTGTAGATGTTATTTATCACATTAAGGTTCTTGTCTAATCTTAGTTTGAGAGAGTTTTTATCCTGAATGGATGTCAGATTTTGTCAGATGCGTTTTATGCATCAAGTGACAGGAACTTGTGGTTCCCCTGCGAATATGTGAATATGGTAGATTACGTTAATCAATTATCTAATATTGAGTCCGCCTCGCTTTCCTGGAATAAAGTCCACTTGGTTGTAATGTTTTATTCTTGCTGCTGGATTTGGTTTGCCGGTATGTTAAGGATTTTCGTGTATATGTCCATGAGGTATATTGGTCTGTAGTTTGGGGGGCTGTTTGTTTGCTTGTTTGGCTGATTGGGGTTTTTATTTGTTTGTTTTGGGCACTGTCTTTAGTTTTGCTGTCGAGGTAATGCTGGTCCCATAAAACAAGCTGGGAAGTATTTCCTCTTTCTGGAAGAGACTGTGTAGATTTATTTGAAGACCTGCTTTGGTTTCATGGACTATTTCTTTATTTCCTTTTCAGTTTTATTCATGTCTGCTTTATCTTTATCGTTTCCTTCCTTCTGCTCACTTTGCATTTATTCTGCTCTCCTTTTTCTAAACCGTTAAGGGAGATAGATGCTTAGGACTTGAGACCTTCTTTCTAATGTTAGCATTTAATGCTGTAAATTTCCCTCTATGTGCTATTTTAGCTGCATCCCACAGATTTCAATATGCTGCGTTTTCATTCGGTTCAAAATATTTTCTAATTTTCCTCGCAGCTTCTCCTTTGACCCGTAGATTATTTATAAATATATTCATTTTCAGGCCTTCTGTGGGTCGGAGTTCCCCTTTCAAAGCCTTTGCTGTCCTGTTTGCACGGAACACAGCCCGAAGTTCAAAGTGGGCACTGACACGGACAGAGAGGACTCCACGAGCCTTTTGGTTCTGATTCTAGAAGCAGCAGGAGGGGTGTCTTCTGGTACTCAGCGGGGGAGAAATTCTGTTTTTGTTGTTTTCTGTTCTGTCACGCCAAGCCCCGGGCAATCCAAGAGTGGCAGCAGCAGGGGTGGCAGGCACCTACGATCGTGAGGGAGGTGAGCGTCCTCTTACCCTGGGGGAGCCGGGATCCCACGAGAGTGAAGAGGGCCCCTGACGCCTCTTCCCCTAGGCCCCCCGCTGATAGCTGCAGAAAAGTGTGCACCGTTAGTTTGGTAACGAAAGTCCTAATTTTCTGACTGGAGGGCCAAAAAGGGAAGGCCCAAGACATGGGAAGATACCAGGGACACCACGGAGAGGGAGGAGCTGAGGAAGGCGACCCCATAAAGTTTAGGAGCTCCTGGCTTGCCTTCGAGCTGTGCATGGCGGATCTGGCCCTAAACAGCACACCAAAGCCTTGAGACCTGCGCTGTGGGGGAAACCACGGCCTCAAGGTGCAGTCTGGCCAGTGGGTGGTACGTGCGTGGGACAGGCCCAGGAGTCCGGGCCAGGAGCCGTGGGCAGGGGGTGGGGGGCGTAAGTTCACTGCTGGTTTGGTGTCTTTGGACCCTGGCATTCTTCCCCAAGCCGCCTGCTGCTGGTCACTTCTCAGAGGCCTCGCGTGGCTGCTTGGCGCTTTCTGCCCAGTCCTGAGAGCCGCGTTCGGTGGGAGGGACGGGGCTGCGTGTCCTTATCTCGCCTCTCCCAGGAACCCACCTGCCCTGCGGTGAGCATTTCACAGCCAAGCGGTCAGACGCACTCTCAGCCTGTGTGATACGCACGGCGTTGGGCTCCCGTGGGCAGACGCCGGCTGACACATTTGTTTGGTTTCTCAGGAGACCCCAACCAAAGAGCTGGGACACTGTGGAGGAGAAGCGCGTGGTCCCGAGCTGGGCAGCCCAGCACCGTCTCCAGGTCCGCCCTACCTGAGCAGGTGCATAAATTCCGAAAGTTCAACTGATGAAGAAGGTATTTCACTCTACTGACCGGTGTAAAAAGAAACTAAAAAAAATGCATTGTGAACAACAACGTTAACTTTTTGAGGATAACTTTACCTGTTGCTTTAAATGACGCCCTTATGACACATGGGGAGCGGCTCTGCCGTCTGTCGGGCCCAGGTCGGCGTCCGCTGATCTGCACCTGCATGTGTGTACCCTACTCTCTCTTCTCCGTCGTAAAACGATAAAGGGAGAATTTTTTATTTTGTACTTTTAGGTGGAGGCTTCGAGTGGGACGATGACTTCTCCCCAGACCCTTTCCTGTCAAAGATGACGGGCAACCTCCTGGGTTCCAGGCCCGCCCTACACACCTCGAAGTACTTCTCTCCGCCACCGCCGCCCCGCAGCGCGGAGCAGAGCTGGCCCCACGCGTCGCCCTACTCCCGCTTCTCCATCTCCCCCGCCAGCATCGCCAGCTTCTCCCTCACGCACCTGACTGACTCGGACATGGAGCAGGGAGGTGAGAGGGGGCGGTGCTGGAACCGAGGGGGGTCGGCCTGGGGGGGCCTTGCCCGCTGGACTTAGATGCCCCGTAATCTGAGGCTTTCCTGGTGTTTGCTGAGCGGATTATAAAAAGCTCTTCAGAAAGCTCTGCCGGCCTTGGCAGTGTGCTCCCGGGCCACGTCCTGCTCTTCCAGGCCCGTCACTCCACAGGCTCAGTGCTGCTTGCACGTGTCCCCTCCCTGCCCCCGTAGACTGGGTGGCCCGGGCGGAGGCAGCAGTGTGCACTGTGGCAGGGTGGCGCCCGGCCGGCAGGAGTTGCTGTGCGCCCCTCGTGCTGCCGGCCACCCCGCCCCCGTCTCCACCTCTTTGTCCCAGACAGAAGCGGCTCTTCAGAAAGCTCGTGTTGTAGAAGCACCTGGCCCTGGGGTCGAGCCCAGACACACCCTACCTTACCCCGGGGTGTTGATTTTGCCATTAGGTCTCGGTCTTCGTGAGATACCAGAGGCCTGGGTGCGAAGTCACGGGCAGGGCACATTTGAAGTCGTGTTATCTGAACGTGTGGATCGTTTTTCTTCCCCGTAACTAGATTGGAAGATAAATGTTAATGGGTACATTTTTTGATTTGAAGTTTGCAGATCAAATAATAACTAGGAAATATAAAGAGCTTTTATTTGTGTTTGTGCTGTGCTTAATTGTGCCAATTAGATAAATGCCCGTGACCTAACCATCTGTCAGAGGCGCAGATGTGTGGAGATCAGAGCTGATTTTCTCCTGCGCCCTGAGCGTTGACATTGAACCGGCGTGTGAGCCGAGCAGATGCGTGTGCGAGTTTGGCAAGCGCCGCTGCCGCAGGAAGCAGACGTGGGGCTTGGGCAGGTGGTGGGTGTCCACACTTGTAGTTTCTGTTCCTTTTTCTGCAGATCAGATGCTATCCGGACTATTTTTATTTCTTGACGCTCATTTAAAAAACCCAGCTTTGCTTGTTCTCTCCTGAATAGGAAGCAGTGAAGATGGAGAAAAAGATTAGGTGGATCCGCCGACGCTCTCAGACCCCAGGCTGCTTCCCCAGGGCGGCGGTCCTGTGCTGCCAGCCGAGCACCGCCATCCACTGGACCTCCGCCAGGATGGACAGGGAGAGAGACTCAGGAGGCCGAAAAGGAGCCGGCACCGTGCGGTACCCACGGCCGGAAGCCGGCGGGGGAGGCGTGCTCCCGCCAGCCCTGGCAGCCGGCGCCCGCGGCCGCTCCCACCTGCGGGAAGCACTGTCTCCGGTGGTCCGGGCGCCCTCCTCCGGGGGTGGGGGCTGTCGACCCCCGGTCGTTTCCAGTTCCCACGTGCCCTGTTGCCTGCGCCCACTCCTGCGCCCTGTCTGTGCACAGGGCCCCAGCGTGCACAGTGGGGACTGGCGCCAGTGAGCCAGATTTATTATTCTTAAAGAGATCACTAATTGCTTTCTGTAATTGCACTGTGGAGAAATGTTCTAGGAGTCCCTGATATTGTACAGAATCTTAAATTATTCAAGGAAAATAAGGCAGGTCAAGCTGGTTCCCACTAGTTTGATTGTTTTTTCTGTTTTATAGTTCGTTTGCTCTGCATGGTACTTGTAAAGCTTAAATACTTTGAGCATTTTGCTGTCATTAGAATTGTTGGAGCTGTACATATGGTACTCTTATGTAAATGATATACGATTCTGAATGTTAGTGTCTTATGTCATTACAGGAAATATTTTTGATGAGTCCAAAAAGACTGTTGTTGACTGACACCCATTTTTGTCTCTTCTCTGTGAACTGGTTTCAGAGGCGCTGAAAGGCCCTGCGCCCCTCCGCGTGACCCTGCCACCCCACCCCTTCATTTTTAAAACCCTTTTGGTAACAGTCAGCAGGCGGTGCGCCCCAGAATTCAGGTTGCAGTGAGTTCTGCGGGCTGCAGCGTGCAGCTCCCCTGGTCCCCTCTCCTGGGGCCGAGCGTGGCCCCAGCGGCACTCCTCCGAGCCCGCTCTTCTGCTTGATTTTCAGGAGCAGACTGCTGTGGCCGCGGTGTCCTTGGTACTCCTTCCTTCAGGAGGGCGGGGAGTGCTGGGGGAGGCACGGCCCCACGGCGGGCTCTGGCGGCAGAGACCCGTGTGAATTCATTCTGTTTGTAGAGCTCGCGTGTCGAGCTGTTAGTAATAACCTCAGAGCTGGATTTTCCCGAGATGCACTGCGAGTCACGAGTCACGTCGTGTCCAGGCGTGGCTGGTTGTGTAGCTGAGGAGATACCCTACATCCTGCCGCTGAGAGGAGGGACAAGGGTCGACGGCAGAGCCTCTGCAGCCGGCCGGTCCCCCTAGTCAGGGCCTCGGGCAGCCCCGCACGGACCTTCCCATTCTGCCGCCAGCACCGAGTTGTCCCCTTGCTCTGAAAGGGGCCGAACGAGGCCCGTGCAACCCCGTGACATTGGTGACAGCATTGTGCAGCCCTGCGTCCTGCTTTGACATCAGGACGTTTCCAGGGGCCAGAGCAGCACAGCACCAGGCCTGGCCTGCCCATCACGAAGCCACGAGGACCGGGTGGGGCCTCAGGTCTGCAGTCCCCGCAGGCCGGCCCTTTGCCCCAGGTGCTGACGCGCTTTCCCGACTCAGGTGTTTGTGACGCTGGGACAGCCCCAGGCCCAGGTCGGGGCTGCGCGGTGCAAGTGGCAGGGACGCGGGTCCTGGCTAGTTCCCCTCATAAATCGTGGCCTTTGTTATCGATTCGGGTTCACGCCACTGACTTTTGATACTAGCAATAACTTTCCAGAGCAAGAAAACCCAGAATGGAGGAGGGGCACCCTTCACCCTCCACGACGGAGCCCCGCCGGGGGGAGGTGCGCCCCGAGAAAAAGGTAACAGGGCGTTAGAAAGTGATTTTTGCCAAAGTCGTCACACTCTGAATTTCTTGCTCCATAGACTTCCGGAGCTTTCTGAATTTTTACATCTAACTACCAGCTCGAGTTAGAGAGAAACGAGGCAATTCTACCAGTGTTTTCAAATGATAGGTTTAATTAATTCCGATTTAAAGACTAAAATCAAGCAGATCCACAGAATATACTGTCGTCTTATACAGTAGGCCCAAGATAAATTTGATATTTTGGGGCTGACATTTTTCACTATGACTAAGGAGATTTTAATAACGTAATTCCCATTTTAAGTCTATATCGCTCTCATAATTAATTGCCAAAAAAAGCATTTTATGCGTTGAGTTGGGGGGGTCGGAGCGGTAGAGCTTACTGTGGGGTTGCATGGCAGGGGAGATTTTATATTTATAATAAATGTGAGTTAATGTGTTCATTTGAAATCTTAAGCAATACACAGGAAATAAATTATGTACATTAAAAATTTCAGCCCATTTTTGAAACGTCAGCATGTGCTTTGTTGATTCAGTTTTTTTTTTTTACTCAGTTGGTTACCAGTAGTGGGTTTTCAAACCGTACTTGCTCTAATAAGTTATGCAATGAAATAAATCATTGGGTTTGTAGTAATACCTGGCTCACAGTGGTATTTCCTGGCCTCCCTTGGAATCTATCAGGTTTTAATTCGTCTTACTTTGGTGGAGTTCATGTATTTTAAATCTTATAATAAAAAATAATCTAACCTTCATTTCCTTCCTAGCTAGATATTAATTTGTGTTATCAAATGACTGTCGTAAGTCAGAGAAATGTACAAAAAGCGCTCCCCAAAACCCTCTGAAACTTGGACGGTGCATCCGGGTGAGAAGCCATTCATCTTAAGGGTGAAGCAGCTCAGCGATACTGAATTGAAAACACATTCATTCTATTTTTAAATGTACAGACGATCGTTTCTAGAGAAATGGGTTTATCTAAGAAAAGTCTTTGTATGTCTTGCTGCCATAAAACGCCTTCCCAAACCTTTAAGTAATATTTTCCATAGGGTATTTGTAGGGGCGACGACCTGCTGCACGTCTGTCCTGAGCGCGCGAGTGTAAGGGAGGCAGCTCCTGGTTTAGCTCGACTCAGCCGGCCATCTGAAAATTCCAGAAGTGAACCACGGTCGCCTCCAGGTGTTGGGCTTCAGTTCCAGGGGCTTCAGGATGTTAGCCTTATGAGAAGTCGCCTTACAATAAGAATGGCCGTACAGAGGTGACTTCAAATTTAAAACTCGAAAACAATATTCCTTAGTAGTGATGGGGTTGGCTCAAGTTTTGACTATTAAAAAGGAAAATTCTCTTTAGTGTATAGGTAAATTCTCAAAGATGCATCGACAGTATTGAATTACCAACAACCTGATATTTAAATGGCTTGAACATGTCTCAGTTCAAATTCGCACAGGCCTAGATGGGTCTTAAGGGGCCGGCGTTCATGTCCAACTGTCAGTTCCGTCCACAGACGACCCAAGGGGCAGTCAGACCTGTGAGATTTCCGTCGTGCTTTAACACGGTCGTAGGAGGTTCACGGCAATATAACAGTTAATGAACTTTCATTTAAATTGTGTACATTTTTAAATTGTAAGATTTTTACTGTATATTGATGCATAGTGTGATTCAATAAATTGCTTGTAATTTAAAAACTATTTAATATTCAAATAAACATAGTTATATATTTATAAACTCTGTTGCTGTGTTTATTCGTGTTTTTTCCGCCTTGCGAGGCCCAGGGTGTGTGCCCCGCGGTGGGCACTTACAGCCTGCAGCTCTGGGTCACCCACTGCCCTGGTCTCTAGATGCCTGATGCCCTTTTCCATGACTTAGGCCCCCATGCTCGTAGAAACACAAAGGTGGTAGCATCACTGGAACACAACTTTTATGTAGGTTCGTGCAGCCTTAAAGCGTACCTATAGTTGGAAGCCTTTGCCCTTGATCTTCAGAAGCATTTTAATTTCTGAAGTCCAGCATCTAACGAGCTCTGAGCGGGGAGGCCAATCGGCCCAGAACCAGCTTTTCTGTGCCCTAAGTGGATCTCGTCATCTCCCGTCCCCCGGTCCTTGCCCGCCTGGTCCAAGCTGCCAGGAATACGGTAACAGGCTCCTACCTAAACTGTCCCTTGGCCCGGTGTGACCCTCAGGAAGTAGACCTGTGAACCCCGCTTCAGAGACTCCCAAGACAGGCAGCGAGTGACAGTGCAGGAGAAGAGAGGACAGTGCTGACCGCGGTCCTGCGGGACACACGTGGGCGGGGGCCCAGGCTCGCTCGACTGATGGCGGGGCCTCCCTGAAGTCCAGGCGCTGAACCAGAGGCCGCTCTTACCACCTTTTAATGCGCCTGTAAACAGGGAGAAACTGAGGCACAGTGCGATTAGGTAAAGCACGTGGGGGCCTGAGAGGGGTGTGAGCCCCAGTTGTCTGCCCGCCGCCCCGGAGACCTCCTAAAACCGGTAGTTTGCGGGTGGTCTGCACGCGGGCGGCGGCCCAGCTGCGGGGTGCTCCGCGGGGTAGAGCTCCGCCCACTCGCGCCGGGACCCGCGCCGGCGGGCGACAGGGGGTCCCCCAGACCCCGGGCGCTGCTGGCTACTGTTCTTCAGGGATGTGGCCGCTGCCCATTTAAGAAGTAGCATTGAAAAACGGCTTTTCCATGAATTCATCTTGACTGGTTCCGTGTTCTGAGCCCAAAGCCAAGGTCAGGTGCAGCGGCCAGGTGCGGTCCCGGGGCTTCCCCCCCGCGCGGAGGGGCCTCCATCTCCGTCCTCCGTCCGCGGCCTGGGCTCCTCCGGGCGGGAGGCGCCGGCCGTCCCCTGTT